GGTCTCTTTGATCCAACAATTTTTTAATATCATCTTTCTTTAATTTATCCAATCCCATACCTGGTTCTAAAGAATAATTGGTAATTTGAGACATAGATTTTAATGATGATGTACTTTAATATATTTAAATATAGAATATAAAAAAAAATTTTTTTTTTATTGTTTTATTTAGAAAAAACTACTAATTCAAACCTGTTGATGGCATTGGTTAAACTTGCACCCAGAACGACATCTATATCCTGGTAATAAATTACTATTTTCATTGTCTTCAGTAATACATGTATAGTATTGTCTGCCATTTTGTTCTATGCTTATTTCCCAACCAACTCTCCTTTGGATAAAGTAATGCACTTTCTTCTGGTTTACTTTTACTCTTCATAACCCACCATTCTCTTGAATCTATGCCATAGTGCAAATGTGGCTTTATTTGGCCTATGGAAATCAGATTTACAGTTAAATTGGGATAGTTAGTCATTTTAAAATTTTTAAAATTAAAATCAGCTCAATATTATTTTTACTAAGTAATTTTATTATGTTTATTATCCCCGCATTTTACTATATAAAAACATATAGAATGTGTGATTAGTAACTTTGGTATAGTGGACTTTAAATGAAACGAAGTTTGACTGTATGCATATATTTCAGAACCTGAAAAACATTTTTTATTAAAAGCATAAATATTGCCAAAACATATAATTGTTCTCATTTGGAATTTTTAGTCTGTCATGATGATGATTTAAATTATATGTTATACAATTTATCCATCATTTTACTTTGTCAGATTTTAAAATGATTTGATTACAAATCACCACTTAAATTCAAAAAATTTGATTTGAATAAAACCAGACTTTAAATTAATATTATGTTTAAAAATAAAATATGTTTATAGATAAATTTATGTACAGGATAGATACTGGTACTGAATAGACATGAAATGAATACATAAAGAAAAAATGTATTTTTGATACCTAAAAATGTGTAATATTTTGGTCTGGGCAATAATAATAAAAAAAGGATCATAAAATTTCGGGACATATAGTAATAGGTAGTATTTATTGTCGATTAAATTTGAGAGAGTGTTTTAATGGGTGATAACAATTATTATTGTATTTGTGTAGATCAAAATGAATAGGTTATCAACGAATTAATTTTGTTATTAGCGAATAATTTTGGTTAAGGAAGATAATAGTTTGTTTAAATAAAATATTACTATTTTATTTTACAGTAGGTCAAATTCGAGTTCTTTATATACATGTTAATTAATTATAAGCCCATTTGAGTTCTGGAGTCTATATGGGTTCGCACGCCTGTTTGGGTTCGTGAGCCTGTTTGGGTTCACGCACTCGTTTGGGTTCACGAGCCCATTTGGGTACATCGTCACTAACTAATATAGTAATAATTAAATAAATTAAATAAATATAATTATCAGTCGGACGACATTTCACAGTGACTGATTTTTAATATATGATCGACATGGCACATTTTCTGTACAACGGACTTTGGCGAATGAATTGAACATAAACTCATTATTAAACAATTTTCGTGCCTCTAAGTAAAA